TCCCTTTAAAAAAAATCAAAGGAAAGAAATAGTGGTAAATAATGCATACAAAAGATCAAGGGATCGTGGCCACCCTGGGCAAGCACTTACTTACACATGTGAGTAACTGCATTCACTTCAATTTTTCCAGCTATTTAGTTGGTCTAATAAAAGATATCACATTTATCCTAAGAACCTTGTCTGCCAATGTTCACTTCAGTAAGACTCTCCAAATGTGTATCTGCAGGATTTGCAGGATCAAAATGAAATTGTGCACTAATGGCCAATATGTATTACACTAATGTATGTCAAGATCTGGGGCTCTTTTTTATTCCCCAGTTCTTAGACGGAATAAATAATATATATCCTTTTATTTTCTTGAAATGTAAGTTAAGTGGGGATGTGAGAAAAATCTGAACGTGCATATTCACCTATATTCCCATCCAAGTCAAGTACCACCATTTTAAAATTATATTACATTATGTTACATTACATTACATTACACAGCATTGAGGATCTAGAGTTCATCAGTAATAAGTGAGTAGGTGTGACAGTGGGCAAGGAGGGAATAGAGTTCAGGGATGGATCTACAAGGGGTGAAGTGGTTCCATCTTTCAGTCTGCGCTTCAGGAACAGCGGCAGGCAACTTTTCTTAAATCCAGAAATCAGGTACGAATCTCCTTCCCTTCTCCCCCAATCCTAATTTTCTATGATTCTCTGCTTAGTGGCATATCCCATCTCCCCGCCCCCCCTACTGCTGCTGTCCCCAGTGTCTCTGGCTGCCCCAGGGGAGGGGGGTGCTCCACAGCTGCTCCAGTTTTGCTTCAGCTGGGTTGCAGATGGAGCCAGGCTTGGCCAGTGGCAGTGGGCGGGTTCCTCCTCCATGTCCATGCCCCTGAGTATTCCTCGCTAGCCAAGGAGTAAGCTCAGGGAAAGGGAACCTGCCCAGTGCTGCTGCTGACACTGTCTCTGGCAGCACTGCATTGCACAACAGCATGGACAGCCGCAGGCAGGAGTGGGAGGAGAGTACAAAGGGAAAGGGAGGGAGCGCCAAGAATGGCAGGGAAAATTCTTACCTGTTTTGGGGACTCAAAAAAAAAAATCCCCAGCTGCTGCTCCCATGACGTGGCTTGCCCATTCTTGTGGTGGAGGGAGCGAGGGAGGCAGAACTGGGAGTGGAGTTACAGACCCCTCTTCCGTGTCAGTCGTTGCTCCCACGCCCCCTTTACACAATCATGGATCCAACCATGGCAGAATTTAGAAAAGCAAACCTCCTTAGCTTCAGATTACAAAATAATGCTTTTCTGTTTACTATCTCTACTTAATCCTATTCAGTCCTATCATCCAAAGGGATATTTCCCTCATTCAAAAACATAACAGATGGTAAAAAGATTTCCTTGAGAATATTACAATATTAGATACCATGCAGACTTCTTTATTTCTCATCAGTCATTTAAAGATAGACCTTTAAAACCATCACTTGACACAATCTCTTTAATACCATCTTCCATTTCTGATTCCACAAAGTTTTAGAAAAAATCTATATTTATCAGTACTGCAGATAATCATGCCCACCCTCTTTGAAGATATGTATGCATTTCACACTATTGCAAATTTTAGCAAAAATGTTAAGAGGTATTTGTTTGGAACAAGCTCTGGAAAAAAATGGAAACATAGCATACTGTAAAACAATGTGTTTTTCAGAAGTTATGATGTAGAAAAGTAGGATGTTTTTCTTATAGTGTCATGACTATAAAGCTGTTAATAAATATTCTGGCTATGGGGAAACAAGACTCAGAAGCAGACATAACAGATCAGGTAAAATGCCATTGATTCTTATTTATAAAATTATTAATAGATTCATAGACATTAGGGCTGGAAGGGACCTCGGAAGATCATTGAGTCCAGCCCCCTGCCCCAGGGGCAGGAAGCCAGCAGGGATCATAGGATCCCAGCAAGATAAACATCCAAATGTCTTTTGAAGGCATTCAAAGTAGGTGCTTGAACCACCTCCAGCGGCAGACTATTCCAAACCTTGGGGTCTCGGGCAGTAACGAAGTTCTTCCTTATATCCAGCCTGAAACAGTCATGGAGGAGTTTGTGACCATTCAATCTTGTCATCCCTTGGGGCACTCTGGTGAGCAGATGTTCCCTCAGCTCCTGGTATGCACCCCTGATAAACTATAGGCAGTCACCAGATCACCCTTGAGCCTGCGCTTTTCCAGGCTGAAGAGTCCCATAGCTCTCAGCCTCTCATCATAAGGTCCGTTTTCCTGACCTCTGATCATGCACGTGGCTCTCCTCTGCACTTTCTCAAGCTTCTCCACATCCTTTTTCAATTGCGGAGCCCAAAACTGGACGCAGTACTCCAGTTGCAGCCTCACCAAGGCCGAGTACAATGGGAGGATGGCGTCCTAGGATTTGCTTGAGAAGCATCTATGGATGCAAGCCAGCGTTTTGGTCGCTTTACTAGCTGCAGCATCACACTGAAGGCTCATGTTCATCTTGTGGTCAGTCATGACCCCCAAGTCCCTTTTGTCTGTAGTGCTAGCCAGCGTAGCACTGCTGAGCCTATAAGTATGTTGCAGGTTTTTCTTCCCAAGGTGGAGAACCTTGCATTTTTTGGTGTTAAACACCATCAGGTTCTCGTCCTCCCATTTCCTGAGCCTGTCAAGGTCAGCCTGGATCACCCTCCTGTCCTCAGGTATGGATGCTTTACCCTAAAGTTTGGTGTCGTTGGTGAACTTGGCCAGTCTGCTTCTGATACCAATGTCCACATCATTAATGAAGATGTTGAATAGTGTTGGCCCAAGGACGAGCCTTGACGGATCCCACTGGTCACAGGGCACCATGACAATTGACTTCCGTCAACTACCACCCTCTGGGTCTGACCACGGACCCAGTTCCCCAGCCAGCAGATCGTGGTGAAGCCGAGGCTGCAGTTAGCCAGTTTCGCTAAGAGGTGATCATGGGATACCAGAACGAAGGCTTTTTTGAAGTCAATATGTATGACATCAATCTCTTCTCCCTTGTCCAGGTGATAGGTCACCTGGTCGTAAAAGGAAATCAGATTCGTCAAGCAAGACCTTTCCGTGACAAACCCAGTATTCAAGCCACAACAAACCCGTGCTGGCTATCCCTCAGGATGCTGCCATCAGCCAGTCCGTTAAGAATGGTGTGATGGAAGGTGCCTTAAGTGGGGTTCCCTGGGTGATGCACTATCCGTCTGGTGTGGAGACCCGCCCCTCGACTCGCCTGCCACAACTTGGTGTTATTATATAAAGAGAGGGTTCAGTGGAGATCTTCATCCTTGGGGGGGTCCCTGGAGATGGCAGTACTCATGGTTCAAGGCGTGATGTTCCACGGGGCTCCGCCTCCCCTACACCCTGTCCACTCACCAACCGGATGGGCACTAGCAATGATGATTTGGTCGTGCTGGCTTGACCATGGCTTGCTTCGAGGGGGACCCCACGTCTGGGTGGGCTCTGTTGGCACTTGTCAGGCTGCCCCTTCTGTTTCGACGAGTAGCATTTCCGCCCTAGAGACTGGCAAACTATATGTGCATAGGCTGGCGCCTACTTCAGTGCCTCTGGGTAGGGCGCTTAGTTCTTAAGCCTCCTCTCCTTTTTTTTTTTTTTCAAAAGAAATAGGCCCATGGGGAGGAGAGGGGTGTGGAGTTGCCTCCTTTCCCCCATCTTCCTACAGGGGGCTCAAATGCCTCCCCTGCTCTGCCTGCCGGCGCAGCAACCGGCTGCGCTGCTCCTCTCTATTGCAGGAGCCTCAGTGCGTCTGGCGTGCTCCCTTTCTGCTCCTCCTGCCCCCTGAGTTCTAGTGGGGCTTTTAAATCTTCCCATGGTGGCTGGAACGGCCGCCGTGATTGGCTCAGCTGTTTCCTGCCCAGGGAACAGCTGATTAAACAGCCGGCGTAACGCCGGCTCCCGCGGCCGCAGCCACGGTTCCTGCTCGGGCTCTGGCTGCCCAGCGGGAGGTAAATTTCCCCCATGGGGGGGTTGTTTGTGGGGTTTGGGGCCTGCGGAGACTACTCTCTCCCCTTCAGGAGCCTGTGGAGGCATCTTGCCACCACAAATGGCCTCTTTGATAATCTTTTCTAAGACCTTCCCCAGGATAGAGGTCAGGCTTATGGACCTGTAGTTTGCCGGGTGCACTTTCCTCCCTTTCTTGAAGATAGGCGCCACATTGGCCTTCTGCCAATCTTCGGGCACTTCACCAGAGCTCCAGGAATTCTCAAAGATCCATGCCAGGGGCTGAGCTATGATGCTCGCCAGCTCCTTGAGTACCCTGGGTGTAAACTGTCAGGGCCGGCTAACTTGAAGGTATCCAGCCTCTCAAGGTGTTCCTTCACGAGGTCAGCACTGATAGAGGGTAAGGAATCACCCTCACCCGGGCCTCCCTGTCCTGTAATGGGCAGGGGTGTTCCATGGGACTGGTGAGAGACCGACGCAAAGTACCCATTTAGCAAATTGACTTTTTTCTGGGTGTCGCTTGTCAGTTGTCCCATCTGGTTTATCAGAGGTCCAATGTTGTCCTTGCTTTTCCTCCAGCTCCCTACATATCTAAAAAAGGACTTTTTATTGTCCTTGATACTTGTAGCTAGATGGAGTTTGGTCTCAGCCTTGGCTTTCCTTGTTCGCTTCCTGCAGGTCCGGACCAGTGCAGAATATTCCTTCTTGGAGGTGGAACCAGTCCTCCATCCTTTGTAGGTCTTTCTTTTTAGACACAGGAGGTTCTCTAGTTCCCTGCAGAGCCAAGGGGGTTGTTGTGCCCTTTTGCTGCCTTTCCTCCAAGATGGAATAGACTTTGCTTGTGCATCCAGGATTGCTCCTTTGAGGAGCA